GAATGTATATTTTGCACATTTTGAGAAAAGCTATTCATGTAGGGTCGAATGAGTTACTCAAGTAGGTGGGCTCTGAATTTTGAGTGACGTTGAATCACCCTGAATTAAGAATTTTTATAACAGAAAATACGAAAATCTTCCATAATTGAATGCTCTTTATAGATCAGGCTAACTAGATAGAAAATTCTATAGACAAATTTTACAACGGAATTATAATCGTTAATGGTAAATGAAAATGTTTTCTGTCTAGGGATACAAAATACATAATTTGCTGTGTGACCTTTTTATGAAACGTCAAATTTGGAAGAAGCACTTTTTCGCGTACGTAAAAAATGGTGGTCATAGTGGTCTACAGGGTGTCCCAGAAGTCGACGTCAAGCCGAAACCGGGTGATAGGCAAAGTCATAACAGCTACCAGAAAAATATTTAAAAAAATTTTATGTATGCGTTTTGAAAATTATAGGTCTTTGAAAAAGATATAGAAATTTCACACCCTACGGCAGTCTGTCAACTCCTGTTACTACAAATATTAACTTTTTTTGGATTTTATTTTTACAATGTAATGATGAATAATGCATCTTCAAACTGGTGTCTCAACCTTACTGCCAACTTTTCTCGTTCAGGAAAAATTGCCACTTATTTCCCAACCAAGTATTCCAAAGTAAAACTTTGCTCAACTTTAACTGGTTGTACTGGAAAAAAATGTACTACGAGAGTTTGGCAAGTAACCTTAAAAGTTGGCGCATTTAATAACGATTCCAAAATGATATAACACTTAGAAGATTACTCGTTAACTTATGCACAATTTTTATTTGAAAAAAAACTGATGAAAATTTTTCAAAATTTCCTAATTAAACAGCGATTATGAAAACGCACAAGAACCCTTAAGGATAACTGTTTGCACAACATTGGGCGTCAAAATGCTGCTGATGATGATTTACCTTTACAGCAAATGCTCAAACTGTTTTCCTTCAGCCGCAATACACGCTCGACATCTTAAAAAAGATCGGGTTATTAAACGAGCGAATCCACGGTTATTAACAAACTCAGCTGCTTCCAATAGTCTTTGCCGTAGCTCAGCTACATTTTGAATCGGCTTGAAATACACTTTTTCTTTTACAGTTCCCCAGTAAAAAAATCTAAAGGATTCAAATCAGATGATCGGGCTGGCCACTGTATTGTACCAGACCGCCTTATCCATCTGCCTGGAAAGTTATGATCGAGATACTCTCTCACTGAGAGTGCATAGTGCGCTGGGCAGCCATCATGCTGAAACCACATGTCCCTGTAAATACTCAGTGGCACGTCCACCAATAAATTTTGTACATGATTTTTCAAAAAATCCAAATAAACTTCAGCAAAAAGCAACTCGGGGCTCATAATCCCGGGGCAGGCGAGGTTGAACACGCTGTATGAGCGATAGAAATTGAACAAACAAGTATAAGGTCTCATTTGGAAGGTATTGTCATGTTCTACAGCTTCCCTCTGAAGCAGTTTTATCAATATTTCCCAGTTTTATTAGCGAGGAAGTATTGTAATCACGAAACATTTTGAAAATGGGATATTATGTTTTTAGCCTAAATTAGTGCTTATTGTTCGAACAACATACTATTATTCACAACACATTTCTTGCAGTGTTCTGGAAGCAAAATGGAGTTTTTACACATTATCATGACTCATCGGAAATGTTCAAAAGCTTATCTAATACCAAAATTACCCGTACGTAAAAGTCAGGTAGTCGGAAGCGTTTAAAACCATTTAGATGTAATTACTTTTTCGAAGAGAAAGCAATCAACTGTTTATATCCCTTTAAAGAAATGGAAAGTTTTTTATTTGTCTACCACGTTGAAAATTGTCTACGGGAAAGTTGAATATCTGCGAAAACGTATTTCCTGTTTGCTACCATAAAAAGACAAGTTGTAAAAAAATACAAGCGGCTGGACCCGATATAAAAGTGAAATTTCCTAGCATGATCGCAACAAAAAAATATAACGTAAAATCAATGGCATTACACTTTCTTTGTGCATTTTCTAACCAATTAGCAGATAAATGTCGATAATTTCCAACGGCCGGCACGTTTTGTTTAGAAAAAGAGCGCGCAGTAGAAATCTCGCCATAAATTTATTTCAATTTCGCTTAAATCGGTAGCATGGCATACGTGTTCTGATTTCATTTGCATTTTTGGTCTTATAAACGGCCTTCGGAGCTCAAATAGTCCGTTTTGTTAACGCCTGGACGAAAAAGGTAACGCGTTTTCCGGTTTTTTATATACAGGGTGTCCCAACGAAAAGATCGCACAGAATTTTGAAAGACAATAAATTTCACCCATTCCAAAAATGCACCAGGCATGAAATATTCATTAAATATCTTTATAAATGTTTTTTAGATATTTGTAACGGCAGTTTTTTAACATATAATAAATATTTTTTTTTATATTTCCATAACATATTTGTACCATATATAATTTATATATTTTGACAATATTTTCCCAAGTATTTGGAAAATATATGAGAGAATATTTTTAAAATGTTTTGATGAAATATCTAATATTCTTCATAAATATACTAAGTGACATATAAATCCGAACACCCAGTTTAAATGTTTTTAATTTAATAAAAGTTGGTGAATGTATTTATCTTACTGTAAATAACAAGTAAAAAAATTTTCAGCCTTATCATTTGGACATTCCGGTTTTTATACTGCTTTTTTTTCATTCACTAACGCTCTTCAGCCGCAGTAAAGAATCAACGTTGGCGGATTTTGGTTCTTGACATCCTTTACGATCGGTTACGATGCCTAGAGTACGGAGACCTGTACGATTTCGTCAACTTAGTGAGTTTGATAGGGGCCGTATAGTGGGACTTCGGGAAGCTGGACTTTCTTTTCGGGCAATTGCAGTTAGAGTGCAAAGAAGTGTAGACACTGTGGTTAGGTGTTGTCAGGCATGGCTTCGAGAAGGCCGTACGCAAAGAGCAAGGAGCACTGAACGCCGCCGTAGACCAACAGTCCGTGAAGATCGCCGCCTAAGATTATTGGCCTTAAGGGTCCGTTTCTCCACTACCAGGTCCATTGCAAATGAATGGTTTGCAGAACACGGAAGACCTATTGGCATGCGAAGTGTTTACCGACGAATGAGAAGTTTTGGCTTGTTTTCATACCGGCCACACTGGGTCTTCCCTTTAACTCGAGAGTGGTGCAGACAACGGTCACTCTGGGATCAGGGATGAAACAGTATTGTCTTTAGTGACGAGTCTCGATTTTGTTTAGGCATGCACGATGGTCGTGCCAGGGTTAGAAGGCGACGTGGTGAAAGGAGGAATCCACAGTTTTTTGTTGAAAGACATGTTCATCACACTGTTTGAGTTATGGTTTGGGGTGCTATAGCTTATGGTTCCAGGTCACCTTTAATCTTCATCGGAGGTAACATGAACGCGCAGCGTTATATCCACGAAGTTCTAGACCCCCTCTTTTACCCTATCATGACAGGCAGATCCAACTTTCCAACAAGATAATGCCCGACCACATGTTGCAAGAATCACAATAGACTACTTTCAACATAATGATGTCACATTGTTACCATGGCCACCAAGATCTCCCGACTTATCCCCAATTGAGCACGTGTGGGATATGATGGGTAGGAGATTGCTCAATTTGCAACGTCCTCCTCAGACTCTAGAATCACTTCGAGAGGAGTTGGTGGTTGCCTGGAATGAGATACCACAGGAGGACATTGACCACCTCATCAGAAGCATGCCTAGCCGCGTTGGAGAATGCGTAGCACATCAGGGTGCATCCACACATTATTAAAGGTCAAAGGGCTTTAAAGCAGTGCAATCATTTTGAAATTTTTATCATTTACTTATTATGCTTCATTAAGTACTTATACAAAGTTTTATTAAAATAAAACCATTTAAACTGGGTGTTCGGATTTATATGTCACTTACTATATTTAGGAAATATATGAAGCAACATATTTTTAAGCATTATTCTGATACGTGTTACCAGTGTATTTTTGAAAACTTTTCATTGGTTATTTCAGCAACATCTGAAGGAATGCTTTTCTAAATTCGGGCTGCACCCGCTGCAAAAAAAATCAATATCATTATAGTGATATCCAGGTTATAGGTACATGGATACCTTAAAAATGGTTATATGTCAACCGGGCTTCTTTGAATTTAGATTGAGCTGTTTTTTATTTAGTTAAATATTTTGTGAATGAGTGGTTTTTTCCACCAATTAAAAAATAAATATTTATTCTATACTATGTAAAAATATTACATACATAAAAGGTATTTGTCGAATATTTTCTAAATGAGAGTTTTAGTATTTTCCATTGACTAAATTTGATGAATGTTATAAAAGAAATATTGTATTTAAAATATACATAAAATATCGATTAAATATTTGTTGAAAATATTATCATCCAAATAGTTATTAAATATGTGTTTAGGATAGCAAATATTTCGTGGTATCGGGGAGAGTAACAAATAGGAGTGCGACCCTTTCGCTGGGCCACCCTGTATTAAAGTGGACTAAAAACAGTTTCATGATTATTTACTGAGAAATAAACTATTTTCATGATACTCAATGCCTTTTTGAAGATCTATCTTCTTGTTGTGCATTCTCCTTTTGCGGACGTTTCCTATTTCCGGGTGCGGGCAAAATTTATCAATAATTTGTCTAATGTTATTGCAATTTTGGCTGTTTTGATTCTGGTGTATGCCACAAAAAATAATTGCATTCCAATCTTTACAATACAGTGGTTTATTCCTCTTATAATTATAATTTACTGTTTTCTTGCAGGTAAGGAGACATTTGTCCAAAGAAAGATGATTCGATGATGTAAGTTATAGGCTAGGCGTGCAGGATTTCATATTTGTAAATCTGAAAGCTCTATTATTAGTTATTAATTTAAAAAAATACAATGTAGTAAGCAAAATGAATGTCTATGTTTTATCCTCAGTGGCGGCTCGTGGCAAAATAAAACAGGTGTGGATCACCTTCCCGTTGAAATTTTCCATGGTCGAAATAAATTCCTTTTCAATGGACAGCATCGACAACGTTGTAAGGCGATCCTGGGTCATACTATTACGAAGAAAAGTCTTTATTCTTTTCAATGTTGAGAACTTTCGCTCAGCCTCTGATGTTGACATAGGAGTTGTAACAATAATTTCTAATAGCTTTTTTGTTTCTTTTAGTGTTTCCTTCAAACTATTTTGTATCAAAAATTTCAAAAGAGACAGAGTTTCATGTAAATCTCGGCAATCATTCCCTGTCTTTAAACGACTTTTTTCTAATTCTCTATTCTGCAAAGTGTTGGGGGAAAAAAAGGGATGCGGCTGGGGTTCAGCGCAAATACTTTTGGCTTCATTTATTATGTCATCAATTTTATTTCTCACACCGATCGATAATTTTACAATACATTTTTCAAAATTATCGATAGCCGTTTTAACTTGCGCTGGTTTGGTTTTTCTCTTCTGCAACTGGTAGGACAAGATGTCGACGTGAGGCATGACAGGATGAAAAAATGTCAACCAAAACACGAAAACAGAATCATTTACCATACGGCGAATACCGCAAGCTGCCTTGCAAACGATTTCGTTAGTGAAATTTTCTTCATTTCTTCCATGCACTCAATGAATGATTCTCTGTTCTCAAACACTACATTCATTGTTCGAATATTAAAATTCCAACGAGTTGTTGCTCCTTGGGGAATTTTTCCCCACAATTCTGTTCAGTACCTTTAAGCGTTGATAATGATCAAATTACTACTGCTTTTTTCTGTTAAGACAAAAGTTTTGACAGTTCTGCAGCTCTGCAGAACTTAAGGGCCAGCCGCCCCTGTTTCTCCTACAGAATTACTGAGACAGCACATATTTTTATATAATTTTGAACTCATGCAGTTCTCAATATAGCAAAAAAATATTTAATGCAGGAATCCAAATTTTCAATCTCAACACATCGATTTAAGAAATGCGTTATTCTCGGCACTATTTTATTGCCGGTATTAGTAGTGAAAAAATACGAAATTAAGGTATTGAACCAAAACTCCGATCTGTATCTATATGAACTCCTATAGGGCTGTCTAGAAAAAAGCTATACTTTAAGTTCTTTCAACAATGTTCTAAAAATCGACTTATACTCAACCACGAGTAACGCTTACACACATACACAGCTTAAACGTCTTATTTCTGTAAAGCAAAGTTTGGGTTTGGTACAACAAACTTTGATTCTGAATAATAAACGGTGTCCATTAACTATACTAAGTGACATATAAATCCGAACACCCAGTTTAAATGCTTTTATTTTAATAAAAGTTGGTGAATGTATTTATCTTACTGTAAATAACAAGTGAAAAAATTTTCAGCCTTATCAGTTGGACATTCCGGTTTTTATACTGCTTTTTTTTAATTCACTAATGCTCCAAAAATGAATATTGCAGCCGCAGTAAAGAATCAACGTTGGCGGATTTTGGTTCTTGACATCCTTTACGATCGGTTACGATGCCTAGAGTACGGAGACCTGTACGATTTCGTCAACTTAGTGAGTTTGATAGGGGCCGTATAGTGGGACTTCGGGAAGCTGAACTTTCTTTTCGGGCAATTGCAGTTAGAGTGCAAATAAGTGTAGTCACTGTGGTTAGGTGTTGTCAGGCATGGCTTCGAGAAGCCCGTACGCAAAGAGCAAGGGGCACTGGACGCCGCCGTAGAACAACAGACCGTGAAGATCGCCGCCTAAGATTATTGGCCATCTTTTACCCTATTTTGACACCCTGGCAGATCCAACTTTCCAACAAGATAATGCCCGACCACATGGTGCAAGAGTCACAATAGACTTCTTTCAACATAATGATATCACATTGTTACCATGGCCACCAAGATCTCCCGATTTATCCCCAATTGAGCACGTGTGGGATATGATGGGTAGGAGATTGCTCAATTTGCAACGTCCTCGTCAGACTCTAGAAGCACTTCGAGAGGAGTTGGTGGTTGCCTGGAATGAGATACCACAGGAGGACATTGACCACATGATCAGAAGCATGCCTAGGCGCGTTGGAGAATGTGTAGCACATCAGGGTGCATCCACACATTATTAAAGGTCAAAGGGCTTTAAAGCAGTGCAATCATTTTGAAATTTTCATCATTTACTTATTATGCTTCATTAAGTACTTATACAAAATTTTATTAAAATAAAACCATTTAAACTGGGTGTTCGGATTTATATGTCACTTAGTATATTATGTTTTAGCGAGCGTCAACCTCATTTGATGACAAATAATTGTACGAGTATTCTGTAGCAGTCAGAGTCAGCACGTTTTGTTATTAAAACACCGAGATAGCCAGTGTGGGAACTACTCAACCGAGCGTCGGCGATATAAATAAGAAAAACTCACTCACACTTGATGGATATAGAAATATACGGTTTCTGTGTATTTCCCATGGTTTAACTCAACATGTTATCATACAAGAAGGGTTTAAATATTCATGAATCAATAAATATGCAGTATCTAAGTAGAAAGAGGTGTTCCTGAAAGTATATTCTCTCCCGTGTTTTTTATTTGCATGTTGACGAGTAATAAGGAGATTAATTAAGATTGGTCAAGTTTTTTGTTTTAATTTTATTAGCAAAAAAATGCAAAGTACTTTAGTTTGGTTTTAATTTGTTTTTCTCTATAATTAGATCAATTCCAGGGTCTCGCGCTTACACAGGTCAAAGGGAAGTTAAAATACAAAATTGTAGATTCACAAAAGAACAAAATTTGTTGAAAAAAACAACATTAACAGAAAAACTGTAAAAGGATATTATGAATTTAAAATAAATACAAAACCATAGAACAACAACAAATTATCAAGGTAAAGCTATACAAGCACACTACAACACCATTATACGAGATCCGAAAAGTTATTACTTGCAAAAACTTCCCTCGTCAACCATGTAGATGAAACTGAAACTACTTCTCGGAGACTTTACAGTTGATATACTTTACATTGTTCTAATCAAATTGTTTTCCAATGCTGTCTCCCCATGTACCATTCAACAAGTACTAACGGACATCTAGCGTCCACCTTGTCGACGTCTTAAATGCTGCAAATGATCATGGAGTTTTACGCTTGTTAGGTATTCTAGGCGCATTTGCTTTTCTGATTGCAAGAGCGAAACCCAGAAACCAGATATGGGAACAATGCATGCACGACCTCTTCGAGGACGCAATTAATAAAACACCAGATGCGCCTATCCGCCATGGACGACTCATCGGACGTTGCAGCAGGGGTTACAACTGAAATTATACAGTCGGACATTGCACTTCGATATCAGTCTGCTCGTATCGGATTCATGTTAAAAAATAAATTTTTGTTTGCATCGACGCAGCCGCGCAGGCAGTGGCCTGAATGCCAGGGCACCGCGACAGGTGTGTCGTATTACAGGGTCCGCATTGCCGCGAGTTCACTGTGTTTTATTTGTTATATTTTAAACGGGATATTTTGTCGGCTTTTACATAGGTAATTGAAATAGGAACATTCAACGCCGAATCATGAGATCGTCCACCGGCACTGGCGGATACGTACACTTCATGTCGTGCTGCCAGGTCCATCGTAGATAAACCGTAGATGTTTATGGAGTTGCAGAGGACGCTGCGGAGATTAGAGATGCGTAGGTGGCTGCATGACGATGTACGTGCGTACGCAGATGATGTTAGAAGGAAACGCGGTCGAGTCGGTTTTCTTTATGCATGATGCACTAGAAGCTATCTTGATCTGTTATCAACACTGCATCTAAGTTGTCGGTTCATGTTTTCATTATTAAATGGTGTCCATGTAACTTATCTATACCGGTACTCTCCAAACACGAATCTTTTATAGTGGTCGTGTTCTTTACTGTGTTTTTAAAAATGTTGGTTGGATTCTGTATGCATGATTTTTTTTAAGAAATACGACAATGACACAGTGTTTCTATTATTAATTTTGTTAAGAAGCTTATTTTCTTATATATTCTTATATATAAATATACTTTGAAGTTGAGTCATTAATTTTCAGATAATGATTGTAGAAGGAAGATAAACCAAAATATGTGTGTAAAAATAAAATAAAATTAAAAAAAAAATTACCTTGTTTTATAAAGTATCCTCCCGACAAGTATTTCAGTGCGGACCTGTATTTGATCGTGAGGTCCTGGAGCACCGGCATGCCGTCCATATGTGAGGTCTTAAGTCAAATGATTCACGAACCCGTTGTACTACATTAACAAAGGCACGAGGGGTTGGTTGCACTCGATTGGGAAACCGATCCGCATAAACATGTGCCATTTTTTATTTCGTTTGAGCCACGCAACAGACACCACTATTCACTACCGACTGACACTGACTGTATACAACTGAATGAAATAATTGTAAAAACATCGTTCCAAATTCTTTCGCTTTTTTGTTTCCGATGCGATGAACACGAGCACATAATATTATTATTGAGACAGGGCGGTACTCAAACTTCCAAAGGGCTATAACTTTGTTACTTTAATTTTATCAGAAAAATGGTAAAGGAAAAAAACATTTCTTTTGATCAGATCTACTCACTGTTAAAATAAGTGACTCAACTTCGAAGTCACCCTGTATATTTGAACCACTCAACTGATGGATAACTTTTTTCAAGTTTAATTTACAAATGAAATGTTTGAGTACGATCCGGGTACCTTGGCAATTAAAAAAGAATTCGACACTCGAGTATCAAAAAATTCAGGGTACATGAAAACCGTACTATTTTCATTACAAAAATGTTCTTTACGAACTGTCCCAACGATGTAACCAACACAACGAATTGGTTCTCAATTTAAATGTCAAGTTACAATTTTATTTTCTATTTTTCCTTATTGCTTAAGAAATCTTATTTTATCGTATTTCCACAACAAAAAAAGTTTATTTGTTCGAAGTGTCTAGAGATAATAGTTTTCGAGATATTTGTGTTTAAAAGTTAAAAAGCATTATTTGTACCATGATAATAAAACATTTTTATAACATAATAATCAATTGCCTTGGATAGTATCTGAGTAGCTTAGTAGCGTTGCTATGGTTTGTAACAATGACAACAAAACTAATAAACGGAAATAATAAAAACAAAAATTGTTCAAAATGAGCACCACCTTTCCTAACACAATAAAACTGTATCCAATTTTCTCCAAAACACACGGGTCTGCTTCCCAAGTTACATGCACAT